GGACTTTATGATTAAGTTAAGGACTGTCACATGAGATTATCCTGGATTGTCTGGGTGTACCTACTGTGATCAGAGGGCTCCTTAAAAGAGAGAAATAAATGTGACAGGGAAAGCAGGGAATCAGAGTAATAGAGTGTGAGAAGGACTAGCTTAGAAGATAGAGAATTGAGACAATGAGCAGGGGATGCGGGTGGAGTCTAGAAGCTGAAAGAGGTGAGAAAATAGACTCTCCGCCAGACTTTTGAGAACGAGAACAGCCCCTATAGGCACCTTGAATTTAGACCAGTGAAACCCATCTCAAACTTCTCCAGAACTGTAAGATTAAGTTCGTGTTGTTTCAGTCCATTAATGTTTGCTTGTTTGTTACAGCAGCCACGTGAAACTAATAAGCTATACTTCATCATTTTCCATTGTAACTGATATACTACCACACAGACAACATTCATTGTTTAATAAAAATGTATAATATACTTAGGATACACCACTTTCTGGAATTTTGCATGCTATGAAATCCAGTGTGATGTGTTCAATCATAGTGTTTCTGAACCTCTGAAATTTATTTACAAATATGTAGAATAATATGAGGCCTTTTCTTTGGGACTAGAAGTCACAGCAGAGAAAAATTACTTTTCCAATAAATCAATGGACTTGATGAGTCTGTTTATTTCCCCATTGGCTCAATTGCCTCTCTGCACTTCAGCAGTCTACTAGCAAAACTCCATTACTGATGATGGCTCACAAACTTGTCTTTCTTCATTGGCTTCTGCCTTAGCCCTCGTGCTCTGTCATCTCCTCAGTCTTCATGTGCACAAATTGTACAACCCAGCTATGCCTCCACTGGTTACAAAGCTAACTGGCTGAGGCATGCAGGGTAAATGCTTTGGTTAGCTCATTCTTGGCATTAAAATGTCAATAGACTCAATGATTTTTAGTTGACAAGGTGTGTGTGATTTCACTTAATCATTACTATAACTTAGTGAAGGAGGTATCATTGCCTACATTTTATAGCTAATAAAACTAAAAGTTAAGGGGGGGTTTCTGTGTAGGAAATGACAGAAAGGATATTTGAATGAAAATCTCTTCATTCCTCATTCAGTTATAAAACTAATGCAGTTTCATTATATCCAGCTGTCCTTGCCATCTTACCTCCATGCCATTATTCTAGATATGGATTTTGCAAGTGTATTTTTAATGATAATGTAACTAACACACAATGTAAAGAAATATGGAAAACAGAAAAGTATGAAGTTTTATTTCATCCATAGTCTTATTAATCAAATATAACCACTGTTACCATGTGGGTGTGTTCATCCAAGTGTATTTCTTTTGACGTCTGTTTTTTATTTAGTTGTTTTTTTTAATTTGAGAGAGAGAGAGAGAGAGAGAGATTGCCAGCAGGGTAAAAGGACAGAAGGAGATAGAGAAAGAAGATCTTAAGCAAGCTCGCTGCTCAGTGCAGAGCCCAATGCAGGGCTCGATCCTGAGCCAAAATCAAGAGTCAGACACTCAACTGACTGAGCCAGCCAGCCAGGCATCCCTATTTTTATTTAGGGGTTTGTATCCCACTCTCTTTTCACTGTTTTGAGTGAAATGAGGTGGTGTTCCAGCTTTATTTAAAACCGTACTGTCTTGCCTTTCAGTGTTCTACTTTTTTTTTTCCTTTTTATATCTAAATATAAAAAAAAAAAGAATTAGCCTACCCTTCCTGAGTTAACTTTTTTCCTGGATTGGAAACACACAGTCAGGACCAGCAGTATCAGCATCACTTGGAAGCTTGTTACAACTGCAAATTCTTTGCTGAATCAAAATCCTTGGGGGGAAGCCCAGGAATGCCCATCTTAAAAAGCTCTAGAGGTGATCCTTCACACACGATAAAATTTGGACTGAAGTACTTGGTGTCCATTTCTGTTGATGAGGCAAACGCAGCTAGATCGCCTGTTGTAGGTTAAAGTCGTGCAGAATAACTGTCACACATTGAAAAAAAAGAGAGACAAGCATCTTGCACACCCAGATTTCCCTCAGCTACAGGCCTTCAGCCTTGGCTCTTAGTGAATTCCTTGCATTAAGGTCTATAGCCCTCTTTAGAATGCTTAGATGCTTTCTTAGACATGCAGGAGTTACTCGTGCTTCTTGCCATCAGATCATGCTTTCTTTAGTTCTGACAGCTTTTCTTAAACATCTACCATGTTAGATTACATGGAGTAGGAAAGAGAAATGTGTCTTCTAGACCCTCCTCACAAGATAAGTCACAGCCTTGTTAGGAAATAAAATTTTATATATGAAATTTAATGACCAACATTCAATCAAGTCCTAAATTGACTATAATCAGGTAATACTGTATATGAGATGAGCAACGAATGCCCCGTACTGTACAGACCGGACCATTGACTAGGGAGAGCCTCCTTAGAAAGGAGGACTGTGAATGGGACCTAATTAATACATATTATATTAATCATAAAAATTCCACCTATTAAATGTTGACCATGGACCAGATAAAATGGTTAAGCAATTTGTGTTGTCATGTCCTCTACCTCTTGTAACTGTATTTCAATGTACCTGATCCCTCTTCTCCAGACAAGGCTAAATGAGATTAAGCACTTTGCCAGTGTTCTATAAATAGTACTTCACAGAGTCAGAATTTCACCCTAAGTCTGTTTGGCTGCAGAGCCCTGTTTCTTCTTATTTCTGCCTTAATAGTTAACTCTGGTATTAACTATTGAGATTGAGAAAGAGGCTTGTAATGTATTGCAGATAAAGGTAACCCCAGAAAGAGTGAGCAAGCTCCTGTGTCAAATCTGCCTGACCAGCATGCGAGCACTAGGCTGGCAAATCACCAAAACCAGGAAACATCTGTTAGGTTTATGGAAGGTCTTGTAGGCATAGATAGCGATCTGGGATGTAATATCACAGTCACTGAAAAATCATTACGTATTTTTTAACATAATGAAAGTAATGATTTAGGACCAGACTAACATTGGGTTAAAAGAATAATTATTTGAGAAGGGAGGAGATGTTTGGGTAGGACAATCAATTAATCATGTGATTATTGTAAACAGATACCACATGATAAGGAAAATGGGATGTTTACTGGGGGAAAAGAGAATGACTCATGATTAAATATTTAAAAAAGAAATGTGAAAGCTTTTAATGGCACATTGGCCAAACGGACTAACAGGAGAACTTTAGAATTCTAACCTGACATTCTGGATCATTTTGAGCCACACACAAAAATTGTAATTATCTGATGAGAGGTTACAAAAAAATAGAAGCCAATTAAAAACTGTGCGTTTAGGTCATTCTGAACTCTTTTTCTTCCTAACTGCCTACACTCACCTGGTCTCCATCTCCAGTTGATTTTAAAAACATGTGAATTGGTACCATCTACTTCATCCGTCCTCACACTTTCTTATGGAAACAGCCATCCATCACCTGGCCTATGACAATGACATCCTCTGTGCACTCATGAATTTCTGAATCACTTCCCATTGTTTTGCTATAGTTTTCTTTCTAAGACCTACATCTAATTATAGCATCTTCTTGCTTAGAGTTTAAAAAATCTGCCCTTTATTGCAATATTTTACTTGGCGTGGCATTCAAAATTAGAGCTACCATAGTTTATTATCCAAATAAGAGACTTAGGAGACTGAAATTGGGCATATTAATCATCACACTGAGACAAAAGGCACACGAGCCCTCCATAACTCTCCATCTGCATCCTCTTCCAGTGGTACCTTATGCGTGAGTAATGCCACAATAATTAGTGAACAAACCCAACCCCAAATGTTCTTTATCTGTGTTGCTCACAGCTGTATTTGTGTTGCCTAATCCCCTGCTCAGCACATCATAGATACTCAATAATTTGTAGAAGGAAGGGAAGGAGGAAAGAAGGACTAAGTAAAACAAAGAATTTGAGAATTATTTTAGTCTAGTGTGTTGTTGTAGACATGAAATGGAATCGGAGGCCTAACATCTTTGGAGAGGAAACTACGGGTAGCCAAAGGGAGGCACAGAGAACATGGAAGAGGAGAGGAATGTGGAAAAGAGAGGTCCTGGAATCAGACCCGATTGATTGAAGAATGACACGTCTCAACCATGTGAATTCCAATGCACTTTCCCAAAAGATTACTACATGTCCATCTGATGATAGCTCTTTACCAGACGTAGTTCTTAGTTTTGTAAAGAGATCTTTCAAAGTCATCATAAATGTCATCGTGGAGCTGTTTTAAAAAGTCTTCCCAATGGTATTCTAGAAGTTGTAACTACAAGGGAGATATGTAAATGTTCATTTTGTACTTTTAAAAACAGGCGCAGTCTCTGTGAGAAAAGAAAACGTATCAGGGGCATGGGAACAAAAAGGAAAACAATAAGAAGGAACCTGTAATTTAATTACACTAATGTCAGCTTTCCACACAAACTAGATGTGATGTAATTAAAACACCTGTAATAAAATGAAGCAAGGACGTGATTTTCCTTTTTCCTGAAATGAAGGAAGATTAGAAATCCCATGCTGTTTGAGGGGAATTTATACTATCTATGCAAAAAAAAGAAAAAAAAAAGAGAGAGTGTGTGTGTGTATGACAAAGAGAGAGAGAGAGAAAGAAAGAATTTTCTCTTAGTTGATAGCCCAATATAACAACCAATGTTTATGGCCTTTCAAAATAAACCCCTTACAGTAAGGACACGATATCTATAAATAACTACAGGTCAAATATTTTTTCACCAATTATGAGCCTTAATGCAATGAACATTACATTTATTTAACAGTTTATTGATTGTTTTATATATTGTTTCCAACTATAAAAGCTATAGCAGGAGCTTGCGATCTTTGTTAGGTCAGAAATGCATATAGAGTAAGAACCAAATCATGAATTTAAGTGCAGAGACAAAGCACACCCTCTCCCAACAGAAGGGTATGCTGCTCGCCAGTGGCTGGCCAGTAGTGGATGTATCTGGGGAGCCATTTGCTCTGTCCTGTTCTCATGTTGGCTATTCTGTTCCAGCGATCTATGAGCCTTCCTGTGAAGCATACAAACACTTGGGCCAGACGTCAAATTACTACTGGATAGATCCTGATGGCAGTGGGCCTCTGGGGCCTCTGAAAGTCTACTGCAACATGACAGGTAACTGCACCATATTTATGTTTCACCAGCACTTCTTTTCTGCGTGTTGAGCATGAACAGTACTACCAAGGTGTATTTCTTCTGGGTCACATTCTTATCACAGTGTGTAATAAGCTAGATATTGTTGGATTGGTTCAGTAAAACGGTGAAATGTTTGTCTACAATAAAATCTTCTAACCTGGTTTTTTTTTTTTGAAAGTCCACCTTCTGACTTGAGCAGTACATAATTCACATTTTAAAATATCAGTACGTAGGGGGAAGACCCAAGAAGTGAAATTGAAGGTTGAAGTCCCTAGAAAGGACTGGCCCATGAAACAGACTCCACGGGTAATGTAGACTGAGGAACGTATCACTGCTCAACTGTCCACACTGCCCATGTGAAAGGAAGCTTATGGAGCATTCCAGATCTTTCCTGGCCCCCATAGTTAGAGAAGGAGATTTTCTGGGTACTGAAATCTTATTCTGGCAGCACCTGCGGTTTTCACAAAATGTATCTGGAGTTTTCTACGTCAGTAGAGAACCTAGCTTTTCTTCACTTCCATATTAAATTTCAGGGTTATGAAAGGAAATTGTCGGTTCTTGTAAACTCCCACAATGTGTAAGAGGTACATATCTCTAAGAGCAGATTTTCCATCAGACACTTAGTAATGTCTTACCCTTCAAAGTAGAAGAGTGTGAGGCATGTACTATTCACTGGTCCCAGGAAAGGATCAGCATTTGATGGACATTCCTGAGGCATTTGATTATAACAGTAATGATTATATGATGCTCTTTATAATGATTACTACATGATCTGTCTACTTTGGGTCAGATACCGTGATGAATTCTTTACTTAGAATACCTGGTTTGCATCATGCCTCACATTATTTATCAAGTTTCATAAAACTTAATAAGCCTCAGTAGGTTTATCTGTAAAATGGATTAATAGTAATATCTATACCTACCTCATAATATCATTATGTAAATGAAAGAAGATAATGTATATATGGTTCTTCACATGTTGTCTGACACATGGCAAACTTCCAGTAAACATTACCCGGGAGTAAGGTATTATTATTTTGTTGAAATATTAGAGAGTTAAGTATCTTGCTTATATTATTCAGACAAGATTCAAATACAGATTTGTTTGAGGCCAATGGTTCTTAAATCTGATTCTTTAGAATCCCTTATGGGGTTTCTTGTTCTTGTGTTTGTTTTCCATACATATGGGCTCAACCTCTGGAGACTTTGATTGAGTAGTTTGTTGGCTCATTCACCTTCAGGGAACGTTTCCAATATAATCTTAAACTGGAGGGCAGGGAGAGACCCAAGAAAGAAGTGGGTCACTCCAGGTTGGCAGGTGGCAGTTTTAAGAAGCACAAAGATGGCCACAAAATCTTTGAGGTTTATAAAGCAGCCTTAACCAGGTCCAGTCACGTGTACTGTACAGGTGTTCTCAACATTTCATCACCATCTTAACTCTGTGTTCTTGGAGCAACCTCTGGGACAGAAAAAGACAAGTGGAACCCATATTCCAAGGACAGGAGAAGGTGACATTCTGGAGTGAGAAGCCTTGGAGTGCTTGGGTTCAGCTTTTGGGATAATCAGTAGTCACCTCTTTTCGATGACATTCCCCAACATAGGGATGAAGTGGAAATAGGATTGTGCCACTCAAAGGGAGAACCCTGAACAGCATTGTGGGTAAGCAGACCCCCGTGGAAAACTCCCACCAATGTCAGGAACAGGAAGCCAGGCATGGCCCAGAACAGAAGGAAAATGATAAGGACAGGAATATAGTATATAGAGAAAATGGTAAAATGGGAGCTATCCTCCCAAAAATATCCTTCCATCCCAAGACCTCTAAACATGTCCCAGAGAAGAAACCCACTTCCCAGAAAGCTTGATCTAAGAGTTTATTGATCGTTGGACTTGTCAGTGCACTCAAGTCTTTTCTTGTTTACCTTCATTTTAATCCTATTTGAACTCAGCTATAATCGATGAGAACTTGATTTAATCTATAAGAATCTTGATTTTTATTTCCTCTAATATATAAAAAAATATGATTTTGGTTTAGCCCAATACTCTAAACACAATCCGGACAATAAAGAGTACAGTACCACTTTATACAGTAAGAATATCATTCTTCTTGTATCATTCAAGAGAGTTATGAATATCAGTGTGTCAGGGGCCATTGAAGGCCAGCAGGCATTCTTTGGCATTTTGCCATCCATCAACCCTTCCTTCATCTGGAAAGAACATGAACTTGACATCATTAGGACAGTGTGGTACCACACAGGTTGGTTTGGGCTGTTGCATTCCAAGAAAAATATGTTGAAGAGGAGGAGGGAATGACAGCATGAGCAATTCTGTGAAGTCTCCCTATATCTATCACTCTACATACTGAGAAAGTGAATATGCACCTTACGGTATAACATTTGTATTAAAGAGCAGAGCAGTCCCACTTCTCAGTGACCTAAATGTAATGGGGTGTTATGACTACTGAATATATCCCATATTTTAAAAATAGGAGCAAGACATCTTCTCTGGGGAACAAAGTCTTGGCATTGAACATCCTTTTTTTCTTTCTTTCTCTGGATGGGGTGGGATGGGGGAGAGCTTTTCACTTTTACAGACATGTGAAAATTCTAAGGAAAGGGATCTCACTGACAGATAATATCTGATGTAGATTTGGGTAGAAAATAAAGACACTATTGAAAATTACTTTTGATTTAGACCTATTCTTTGGAAAACTTTCAATTCAATTAGTAACTTAAAAGATAACACAAATGAAATGGAAACACAATTAATTTAGGGCCTGACAGGAAGAAGGGAGTCTCCCTTGATTTTTGGACAGGGAGTTCCTCCAAATAATTGTTACCACACTTCTGTCAACTGATGTCTCCAAGTTGTATTTGCTTGTTTAACATTATCAAATAAACAATGTATTCCTTATCCTCATTAGGTTTCATAGTGAATCATAAGGGAGGGCTTGAAGTGCGTCCTTTTAGACAATTTTATTGTTCGATTTAGTCCACAATTTCAACCTGTTGATATCTTTTGGTCACCTAAGCTAACTGTTTTTGTTACATCCTCAGTTTCTTCATCACAATGCCTCTTGCAAATCATCCTTATTTTCATCCCCAATTCTTAATCATATTTTCTTTAAAAACTAAACACACAACTACTACATGACTCTGCAGTTGTGCTCCTGGACACTTACCCCAGGGGAATAAGGACATGTTCACATGGAAACCTGTGTGCAGGTGATCATAGCAGGCTTACTGGTAAGAGCCACAAACTGGAAAGAACCCAGATACCCTTCAATATGTGAAAGTCTAGATAGACCTGGTGCATCCATGCTGTGGGCTACTCTTCAGCAGTAAAAAAAAAAAAAAAAAAAAAAAAGAACTCTTGATCCAATGCAACAGAAATAAATCTCCAGAGAATTATGCTGAGTGAAAAAATATCCAGTCTCAAAAGATTATATACTGTCTGATTTCATTTATAGAACATTCTTGAAATGACAAAAATATGGAAATGGAGAACAGAGTAATGGCTGCTGGGGGTTGGAGGAGGGATGGGGTGGCAGTGCAGTAGGTGTGGTTATAGAAGGGCAACATGGGGGACTCATGTTGGAAATGTTTAGTGTCCTAACCGTACTTCTGTCAATGTCCTGGTTGTGACGCTGTACTCCAACTTTGCAAGCTCACAACACTGGGGCAAGTGAAGGAGGGTGCAAGGGACCTCTCTCTCTAATTTATCACAACGGCATATGGATTTACATTACTCAAGGAACATTTTTAATTAAAAATATATGATACACACCAAAAAAAAAAATCCCTAAGATTGTGAATATTTTCACCGTCTTTATGGAAAAACAGTAAGAGTATTTAAGGATACCTCTAGACTCCCTTTTCCCAGGTTGTTGCTGTTTTTTGTTTTAATTCATATATTCACTATGCATCAGGAACTGTGCCATGTGAGATACGTGGATAACTAAATGCCTTCACAATAAATAATAAAACACATATTAAAAAAACAAAAAATTGGGGCACCTGGGTCGCTTAGTCCATTAAGCATCCAGATTCAGCTCAGGTCACCATCTTGTGCTTTGTGGGTTCAAGTGTGGCTTTGTGACAGCTCACAGCCTGGAGCCTGCTTCACATTCTGTGTCTCCCTCTCTCCCTGCCCCTCCCTCGCTTGCTTGCTCTCTCTCTCTCTCTCTTTCTCTCTCCCCCTCAAAAATAAACATTTTAAAAAGGCAAACAAATAAGTAATTTTTCTATAAAGAAAAGTAATGGAATTCTGAGGACATATTTATTTTGGATACTGTATTTTATATAATGCCTCTATTGGGAAGCAACATTTTAGCCAAAATCTAAAGTATGAAAAGAGACAAAGCACTCAAGAAGGTGAGGAGGGGAAATGAGCCTTCTGAATAAACTTTGCAAGGCATGAAAGAGTTTGTTTCCTTCCAAGGACCTGACACCCAAGTAGCCAGAGTCTGGAGAATAGTGAGCCTTGGAGAGGGGCTCAAAGTGAAGTTTCCAGCTAGGCAAGGCCAGAGCAGACCAGGCAGTAAGGATGGAGGCACAGAGAAAAGCTTGTTTTTTATGTTTTCAATTATTTTTCAGTACGGGGGTTGGGACTCCATGGAAAAGTTTTAAGCAGAAGAATGAGAGGGTCTTGTTTAAAAATACCATTGGGGGTGCCATGAGTCACAGAGTAACTGAGACCAGTTCTGGAGTTTTCATCAAAGTCCCAGGAAGCACCATCTCCTCCTTGAACTAGAGTGGTCACAGTTTAAGTGATGAGAAATAGATGAATTTTAGATCTATTCTGAAGGTAGACTTGTCAGGACAGATGACAGATTGGGAGAGGATGGCTAAAGGCAGTTATCAAGAATAATTCCTGAATATATGAACTGAATGACTGGGTGAATTATGGTGCCATTGGGAGATATGGACAATTAAGGGAAGAACAGAATTAGAGAAAATTCAAGAAGTCAGTTTTGGAATAGT